TTGGGGCATTGACCGATGGCGACGCTTGGCCAATGTGGGCGTGAAAACAACTTTCACTCTCTCTCATGCCTCAGGTATGGGCACGTGAAATTTGATATAACTCTGCAACCGAAGCAGCTAGAGCGCTGAAATTTCCTGAGCACGGCCTACTTCCGTGTCTGAGCAGGAACACATAAAAATAACGTTCAGTTCCCCCACCACGTATGTTCACGTGGAATTTGATGTAACCCGGCAACCAAGACAGCTTGAATGCTTAAATTTCCTGGACATGGCCACAACCGTGTTCGGGCAAACGCGCGTAAGAGGAACTTCCACGTTTTCACTTGCGTGCGAACATGCGGAATTCGACGTGATTCTACAGTCATAGCAGCTGCACTGCCGGAATTTCTAGAGATTGGTCCTCGCAAGTGTTCGGCCAAGTACACACAAAAAGATACCTCCCCGTTCATGTGGGATCTGGCGTCACCCCGCAGCCAAAGCAACTGGATTGCTGAAATTTTTTGAACGTGGTCCAAGACCGTGTATGGGCAGGCATGCATGGAGGCAATACCCACGTCACTTTCACTTACGAACGTACGAAATCCGACGTAACCCCGCAACCAAAGCATCTATATTGCTGAATATTTTGAGCATAGCTACGACTGAGTTTACTGGAAGTCACTGTAATGATTTCTTGCAGTCATGGTAACCAGTCCCAGTACTTTTAGCTAGAAGCATCTGCCGGAAAAAACATTGCGAGAGAACTGTGCAAAAAGGCATCTTCGCACTGGCAGTCGGTATACTGGCCAATTATTAATCTTTTACTATTGAATGTTTATGTTGTTTGGTGGATCGCTTCAAATGCTTGTGTGAATTTGTGGAGCCTTAAATAGGAGAGATATTTTGCTCTAGATTGTACAAACCATTCTTGTTGATGTAACTGAAATGTAGCCACACAGTAAATGCAGTCAACGAAAAGAAGTTAACGAAGAGTCTGAGTTCATCTTTTAAAATTGCTCTTTCGACTGTTATTCATCGAAGATCCTTGTGAGGCGTTTAGCTTCAGTCTTTTTGAATGTTTTATCAGTTTGGAGCAGTATGTAAACGTACCGTCATAACTGCATAAAGAGGTCGAAAATATTCCGCGTGTCGTCATTTTCTCTGGAATTTTTGGTGATTTCTTGTTTCTTGGTGTTGGTGCACTGTCGTGTTTCAGTCATCCTAATGCTGGTTTTTATTGTGTTTTTGCATATTTATGCAAATGCCAAAACGCAAGAAGTTGTCGGTTTGTGTGTGTGTGTGTGTGTGTGTGTATGTTTGTGTGTTCGAGTTTATTTCACCTATGTTTAACTCAAAGACCACAGAATTAGGAAGCTGGAATTTCACAAGAATGTTCCTGACCTATGTATTACTCAAACAACTTTCACTTATGCCTAATTCTCGCGTGCGGAAAATTAAAATAATTCGTGCAAATTTTTTGACGGGGTAGCGGTTTCGGGAAGATAGGAAACTGAATCTTTCCCACTGATGTTTCATTTCCTTCTTAGAGCTAAAAATTTCAAATTCAGCTTTATTGCACGCTTGCACGTATGCAGACACGTTGGCAAAATGCCAAATCGGGAACTAATTTGATTGAAACGCTCTAACTTCGCTAGAATACTTATTTTCCATAAATTGATGTTAGGCGAAAAAGTGGTTTTGAATTTCGCTTGTTTTGCTTACTCGAAGATGTCAGAGATATTTCTAATAATAAGCGATTTCGCTAATCGCTCATGGCAGGAATCTGAAACTTTACGAGGATATACGATGCCCATATGCGGCTGAAATATTTCAAATTCGACTTTAAAGCATGCCTAGGTTTCACGATGCATAGGCAAATTCATGACGGTCTCTC